AAGCAAATCGACTTCAATGAGTTTGAGGAGCGGTTTAAGATTGGCATTGGCGGCGCCTTGCGCAATGGCAGCAGTGGAACCGAGGTCGATGGGTCGCTGCAGTCCAGCAAACGCTTCAAGAGGCCCGACAATGTCTCGCTGCTGGAGCACACGAGGTTAAGAAATATTGGTAAGTGACCCTTATTCTCCGGTCAATCTCTGGATCAACTAATTTCTTTCCTGCACCCTCAGCAATCTCTCGTCGCAAGCTGGGTATGCCCATCGACGATGTAATCGCTGCCATCCACAGTCTCGACCTGAAGAAACTGTCGCTGGAGAACGTCGAACTGCTGCAGAAGATGGTGCCCACGGATGCCGAGGTCAAGTCCTACAAGGAGTACATTATCGAGCGCAAGGACCAGCAGTTGCTCACCGAAGAGGACAAGTTTATGCTGCAGTTGTCGCGAGTGGAGCGCATCTCGTCCAAGCTGGCCATCATGAACTACATGGGCAATTTTGTTGACAGCGTTCATCTCATTAGTCCGGTGAGTAAATGCAGATCTAATTTATTTTCCCAGTAAAATAACTTACTCATCCCGCTGAATGTAATGAGTTGGTTAATCTTGATAATACGGATAATGTGTGTTTGGCATGAGCTATTTCTGTGTCAGTCGTCAGCTGGTTCTCTATTCTGTTTGCTTATTTTTGTTACTAGGAGAGGAAAACTCATAATGTACCTTGGTTTATAACAAAGCTAAATTTGATTTATTAAATGTTAATCAGTAATTCTAAATATTGAAACACAGATAATAATTTTAATTTTTTTTATAATAAAACAATTTTGTAAAGTGCCGCATATTACCTAACTATTAAATAATGATGTTATATAGTACATAATTACATTAGTACATAATTATTTGAAATGCAGTTTTTTAAAAGGATGAAGGAGATAGTTCAATATTTCCTTTTTAGCAATCAACGATTTTTTCTAATCCAGTCACTCATTAATTAAACATATTTTTTCCTATCGCAGCAAGTGCAATCTATAGCAGGAGCTTCGACTTCTCTGAAACAATCACGAAAGTTTAAGGCTGTTTTGGAAATAGTCCTCGCTTTTGGCAACTATCTCAACAGCAATAAGCGGGGACCGGCCTACGGCTTTAAGCTGCAATCGCTGGATACGCTTATTGATACGAAATCCACGGACAAGCGGTCGTCGCTGCTGCATTATATTGTGGCTACCATTCGGGCCAAGTTCCCTGAGCTGCTGAACTTCGAAAGCGAGCTTTATGGAACGGACAAGGCGGCATCGGTGGCCCTGGAGAATGTTGTGGCCGACGTTCAGGAGCTGGAAAAGGGCATGGATCTAGTGCGTAAGGAGGCTGAGCTGCGGGTGAAGGGTGCCCAGACGCACATCCTACGCGACTTCCTTAACAACAGCGAGGACAAGCTGAAGAAGATCAGGAGCGACCTGCGGCACGCACAGGAAGCCTTCAAGGAGTGCGTGGAGTACTTTGGCGACTCCTCGCGAAATGCCGATGCGGCTGCCTTCTTTGCGCTGATCGTGCGCTTCACAAGAGCGTTTAAGGTTAGCCATATAATAGTATTATTAATTACTGTACTAACGCGTTAACTTTGCTAATTTCAGCAACATGATCAGGAAAACGAGCAGCGACTTCGTCTGGAGAAGGCGGCTGCGTTGGCCGCCTCCAAAAAGGAGAGCGACCAGGTGCTTATGCGAAACAAGGTCAACCAGAAGAAGCAACAGGTGAGTGGCGGACATCGACCACGAAGCGCAAGCCATCAGTCCTTCCATCTCAGGGTGGCCAAGTCCCTCGAATCGGTTTCATATATCTAATCCCTATTCGCACTTATCGTTTCAAACCTGATAACCTGTTATGATCTGTTTTTAATCTCGTTTGATTTGATTTATGCAGCCAATACATTGCCTGCTCGACTTTGCCAATCAGCAACAGCAGCAGCTTGCCCAATCGTAGCATCCACCTACCGGCCACTTCCTCAATCTTAGCACGTTAACTTGGTTATTTGGTTGACTCACACAAATCGCACCACACTCTGTCTAATACTCAACTGGGGATGGGAATTCGAGGGGGACTTGGTCTCAGCCCGTGCCCCAAATCCCCGCTAAATCTGCCACAAACAAAATCGAACCACCACCCCATACCATCTAGTTGTTGCTCTCTGTGGGCGGCATGTGACGGGATTTGTTTTGTGTAAAGTTCCCACATTAGTGTAAGTCGCCTGGCTTGTCTCTATTTGTCTCCTAACACCGTATTTGTTCAGACTAATCCTCCACCGTTGTGTTGTTTAATCCCCGCTAATTCCTTTGCTAATTCCAATCCACTTTGACTGTGATCTCATATGTGTGCCGTTCCACAATTTGGACCCGTGCCAGGACTTGCACGCATGCAAATTTTTTTATTTTGTTTACCATCTATGCCTTAAAAGACACTCTAAATACTTTTGAAAATAAATAATTATAATGATTAAAAATAAAATCTATCAGAAGTGCTTAAAAATATATTTCTTAATGGACACTGACTGCTTTAAATTAAACAAATATTTATACCAATTAAAAATAAATAAATAAAATTATAGTATAATATTAAAAATGTACATTTAAAAATCACAAACAATTTTACAGCGAAGAAAAAAGTTATGGATTATTGTAAAATTAAGGAAGTCATCGTTTCTAAAAATAGTCATGTGCACCATAGCAATAACCATTTAGTAATACGTTTCTGTTCTTTGGTGATGGTTTCCCGTGTTTAATGTTAACCTGTTTCTTTTTCTCTAATCCCATCCCGGCTTGGCATCGATCCGCTCCCAAAAACCCAAATGCAAATAGTTGCCTTCAAACGGCGCGTTATCCTTGCAGGAAGCGGTCATAAACGAGCTGAAGAGCAAGGCGCACTCGGTGCGCGAGAAGAAGCTACTGCAGCAGGACGAGGTGTACAACGGAGCCCTGGAGGACATCCTGCTCGGGCTGAAAAGTGAGCCGTACCGGAGGGCGGATGCAGTACGGCGGTCGCAGCGCCGGAGGATCGACAATAATCGCCTGTCACGAACCCTGGAGGAGATGGATTGCTAGACAGGAAATCGAGATCGACGGAACGACGACGACGGGGCAATGGCAACGAATCGAAAATCAAAATTCACACTGAAACAAAAACGGAAAAGAGAACATTACAGATACTGCATTATGTGATTGGGCGATTAAATTGTTTTCGAAACACTCGTACACATACACAGACTCACATTCCCTCCCATACAAGTCCCTTTATTTTCGAATATTTTCCAATTTAACTTTAAGTTGAGTCGGATACGGCTTACCGTATCCCAGAATCCCGATCCTCAACGGAACATTTAGCACCGACAACCACAACCATAACTTCCCTTCCGTGAATCTCGCCTTAAATTTTGAGAAACATTTTTTATCGCCAAAATTTTGTTTTTAAAAACGCATTTTAATTTGGTTGCTTAGAGATTAAGTTGAACTTGAAAATTCGAATGGTGTATTTATCAAATCTTTAATTGTTAAATAATGATTTAAATTTTAACCTGTGTACATATATATACATACATATATATCAAATTATATATGTGCTATTTAACTTTATTTTTTATACTTAAGTTTTAACCAAATTTGAATTACTTGCTGCATCCATCCGAGATGGCAAATCCGCATGAATATGGAGAACCAAACTCCACAACTTTAATTAATTGTATTTTTTTATTAAGTCAAATAAGAAATGAATTGTATGAGAAGAGAGTATAATGCATTAAACTTTTGTATATTTTCATATTTAAATTATGATTTTATGTTATTATTGTCTTTTTCACTCCGCACACAGCCAGCTACGAAAACCCAAACGAATCGCCAAAATATTGCATGCCAGGAAAAATCATTTTTAGAATGTTTTACACATAAAAAATACACATTTTATAAAATTTTATTAGAATTTTTATACAAAGGATATATAAAACTATATTAATAAATATTCCATTTATAAGCCAATTTATATTCTCACGAGCCACAACAAATTGACGAAGACTGATATGGAGCAGTTTACTATACAGCAGCAGAAAACACACGCAAATATAATTATTGAAAAGCTTTTGTAATCTCTTTTGGATAGTGTCTTCTCTCGATATATACTTAGATATATATTTAAAAAAATGCAATAACGAATTTAGTTGAACTATAAGCACAGTTTTATTGTATTTACATATTTACAAGTGCCATCGGCATCCTTATGCATATCCTTTTAACATATTTTCTTTAATTTGCCAAAAGAAAGAAATAGCGCAAAATAAGACGAGGTAGTGCGTTTTAATGCAACATACACGATTAGCACGCTCTGCATTGTTAGTTTTTAAATATTGTGTTATTTAATTTGATAAGAAGCCAGCATGGTATACGACGAACGAAAGATAAGAAAATCTATATATAATTATAAAATGCCGGATTTTTTGTACACACATTTACACGACTATATTAAACACTCGAACTATTTTAAATAAATTATTATTAACCCAATAAACTAGCCAAAAAGCCGGAGGATTTTTATTTTGGAAGGTTATCTATCAAAAATCACAATTGGAACTAAATTAAAAATAGTAATTGGCAACATTGGTTGATGGTAGAACTTTGAGTGGCAGCACTTGAGGACTTTATACTTTAGGCTAAATCTTGATTAGATTATTAAGCATTGTTCCTTAAATTCGTGCTAAGCTTAAATTATATCGTAAATTGAGAACTCTTACGGAATTGTGGAGCTTTTTAACTGAAATTAGATGCAAAAAATAAACCAAGCGAAGGTAAGCGTTGGACGATTTTAGATCAAAAATTATTTAAAAACTCACTTGTTCCAACTATTGCGTTATAAGGCGTTGCAGCCACTACAGCGTCCAGTGAGAACAGCTGTCTAGCGGCCACCTCTAAGCAGCTGACTAACCTGTTGCAAGTATCGGCTCAGCTGACGCTGAAACTTCCATCTCTAACAGAGCAGAAGTAAATTCCGCAGAGAGCGTAAGTTTCAGTGCGAAAATGATTTAAACCGGGAAGGAACGCATTAAGTTCGCATACGCCCACTACGAGAATGTTCAAACGCACTTTTAAGGTAGTTTATCGGCCCATAAGGAGCAACTTTGTGCTGCTGCCGGACCAGTACTACGGCGTCGTTTCGACCTATGTAAGTGTCCAAAAGTCAACATTCCATGCAGATTAGATAAGCCGAAGATTATTCCGATTGACTGTTCTGATTAGGATACGGGCTGCCTGAGTCTGCAGTACAATGGACGGGTGCACTACGCCTCCTGGGCGCCAGAAAAGGGAGGAGGCGGCATCAAGGACACTGAGATTGGGATCAATGCCAGGGCGGCCAAGGAGATCGGTAAGCCATTACTTAACGACCGGATGTGCATCGCTTGCCAATGTGCCGTAATATTGGACTCCGGCCATCTGCCCCTTATCTCGTATTCCCACCTCATCCATGTACCCATTCTTGCCGTAGGTCTGCACGAGAATGATCTGGTCAAGTGTGCGCTCATCGCTGACGTTCTCAACCTGCGCAGCGTCCACGTTACCCCCGTCTCGTCCAAGGATTGGGAGATCATTGTGAGTGACGGTTTCGCCTGCTTGACGGCGTGATCAGCGGTCAGCTTAAAAATAGACAAGTCCGTTTATATCGCACTAGCATTTGGCGCGGGCGGGCGCTTGGTCGTTATTTATAATGCCATTGCTTGTTTGGCCGGCATTGCCATTGACCCGCTGATTGGTTTGGATTAATTGGGCTCTAATCAGATGTCCGTTTTTATTAGTTTTCGTTTCTTATCAAGATTTAATCATTTACATTAATTTAATCGAAGATTAGCTACGGTTAAAGGGAAGACCAATCCCAAAACTAATAAAAACTTCTTTTACAAAGAGTTCCGTAAAGTTACTATTCATAATTTACTTTTCATAAAGTCCCTAAAAAATGTAAAGTTACAATCATAATCATTAAAAAAAAATTTGGTTAAAAGATAATATAGCGCCATGATATTAAAGTATATTTAGACGTTTATTTTAGATGCCTTAGTAATAAACTGAAGAAAGATTTGCCATATTAAAATTCTTTGTTTTTTTCAGAGAAAACTGCCAACATAATTGTATTCTGCAGATTTCTTTTGACTAGAATGCCAAGAAATGCTTTTAACAGAAAACTTATTGTTAGTTTGGCATTGCGCTGCGACGTTTCATAAAATTATTTTGCTTTTGCAGGAACTAAGCACCGAAAAGATCTCGGGTAGTGTGCTGGAGCAAACCCGCATTGTGAACTCCACCCAGATCTTAATTGTTTGGATTAACAAGTCCATGCAAGTGGCGTTGACAGTGGGTAAATATTTGCCATTAAATAGACAACTTTTGTATTTATTTCGATATTTTTTTTCAGATCGCCTTAAGCCGCACATGAACTACGGCAGAATCGATCACAATACGGAACTCGTAGTGGCGCCAAACCTTTACCACGGACATACCAATGGAACCTCCAATGGTGTCATCGAGGAGAACTCAAAATTGTCAAGGAGTAAAACCACTGCCCAGGTCAAGGATGATCTTGCTGAAAAGCCAAAGCTATTAGCCCATTCCTCCACGGTGTCCAATGTGAAGAACACGCTGCAGCGCAACAAACGCCAAGATCACATGGAGCGCCTCAAGAAGGACCTGCGTAGGGAGAGCTCGCGAAGCTTCGAATTCCGTGTGATTCGAGGGCTATGGCGGCAGCATGCTCAGGAGTCGGATGTCTATGTAAGCCGGAAGCATCTACCTGAGTTCTTCGATCTGGATCTGTTTTACTGTATGCACACTGCCAGTGACAAGGATTATTATGTGCGGGTGCGCACGGTGGATGAGGATCTTGAGGACGACCTTCCGGGCACCATTCATCCCTCGATCGAGCTGAATGCTAATCTGATGAAGTTGCTGGGTATAAAAGAACTGGAACGTGTTGTCCTAAGGCCCAAAACAACCGTAGTAAACTTTGTTGAGAAAATAGAGCTGTTTTCCAACAAGAAGACGCACTACAAGATCATTGAGAATGCATTTAAGCGGTTTGTAATAGAGAGAACTCAGCAGAGGTCGATGCTCTTTAACCAGGAGGAAGTGGTGCGACTTGAGGACGATGTCCTGGTTACTGTAGGCATCCTGCCAGAACACTTTCGTTACTGCGTCGTGGACGCTCAGTTCCTGAAAGAGTCGAAGATCTATGCGGCCGATCTGGTGCGTCCGGTGAACGAGATCATCAAGGAGCAGACTCCGCCAACGTCGCCGCTGAGTGTCCAGGATCTTATACGGCTCCCAGAGTACGATAAGATTGTGGATCAGGTGGTCCAGGAACTCCGCATGAATTTGTGTCTGAATGCTGAAAACTCCGTGATGCGGCAGTGCAATGTGTTGCTTACTGGTGCTGCGGGAACAGGCAAAACCGTGCTTGTGGAGCGCATCTTAGACAAGTTATCGCGAAAACCGGACTATTGTCACTTCGAGTTCTTCTATGGATCACGAAGCAAAGGCCGCAAGACAGAGTCTATACAAAAGGATCTTCGCAACATCTTCACCAGCTGTCTTCAGCATGCCCCTGCCATTGTGGTGCTTGAGAACTTGGATGTCCTGGCTCATTCCGCAGGGGAGCAATCTAGTCAGGATGGGGAGTACTATAACCGCATGGCGGACACTGTGCACCAGTTGATCGTCCAGTACACAAGCAATAATGCTATCGCGGTAATCGCCACCGTAAACGAGCTGCAGACACTGAACAAGCGGTTAAGTTCACCCAGGGGCAGGCACATCTTCCAAACGGTTGCTCGTCTGCCCAGTTTGGAACGGGCGGATCGTGAAATAATTCTGCGAGAGCTGTGCAGTCACATCAATGCTTCCAAGGAGCTGGATCTTGTAAAGTTCTCCAACCTCACGGAGGGCTATCGGAAGTGTGATCTTGTCCAGTTCGTGGAGCGTGCAATTTTCTACGCCTATCGCTTAAGTAAGTATTTATACAATTTTTTTTAAAGCAAGCATAGAACTCTGTCCTTAAAAATAAGACATTTGCATGCTAAAATGTATTTGGAAGTACAACCGTGCATACTTATTGCTAAATTTTAAATTATCGGCTTTCTATTTATATTGTTGATTTTCTGAGAAACATTTGATTAGCCAGAGTTCTAAGAACTGTAATAATTGAGTTTTGTATTCCTCTGCTTTTAGGCAAGGCCCAGCCACTTTTGACCAACGATCAGCTTATTGAGTCTTTGGAACACACGAACTCCTATTGCCTGCAGGGCATTCAAAGTAATCAAAAGACTGGCAGCGATGCAGAGGCCAACGAGTTGAGAGTGGAGGAGGTGCCTGGCCTGGAGTCAGTTGTGGGCGTGCTAGAAGAGGTTCTTATGTGGCCATCACGGGTAAGATTTTAAGCAAAAATAACGTTATGTTCTAAGATAATTAAAATTCTTATATTCGTTTGCAGTATCCGAGCATTTTCAATGCCTCACCACTGCGCAATCAGGCCGGCGTTCTTTTGTACGGACCACCAGGAACCGGTAAGACCTATCTGGTTTCCCAAATGGCAACATCATGGAACCTGCGCATAATTTCGGTCAAAGGCCCCGAGCTGCTGGCCAAATACATTGGACAGAGCGAGGAGAATGTTCGTAACCTGTTCAATCGAGCACGCAGCGCTAGGCCGTGTGTGCTCTTCTTTGATGAGTTCGACAGTTTGGCGCCAAAGCGTGGTCACGATTCCACGGGGGTCACAGATCGGGTGGTAAACCAACTGCTTACTGAACTGGATGGCGTTGAGGGTCTGCAAGGAGTTACCGTAATAGCAGCGACCTCCAGGCCAGAGCTCCTAGATCCTGCACTCCTTCGATCCGGTCGCATTGATCGCCTGGTTGAGTGTCCTCTACCGGATGCCCAGGCCCGTGTACGCATCTTCGAGGCTCTCAGCTCGACCCTCAGCCTTGATGAGTGCGTGGACTTTGAGTGGTTTGCAGGAAGAACTTCAAATTACACCGGCGCCGATATACAGAGCATTTTGACATCGGCGAACATGGCAGCGGTTAAGGAGGCGCTAGCTCAATTCGGACACGAGGTGAGTTGGGAATGCACCGGAAATAGAATGTTCTTGATAGGTCCCTCGCTTTAATCTTGTGTTTCGGATTTGTTTTCCTCGCGGTAACAAGTGCTGCCGAAATGTATTTACGTGCCCTGCATACGGACTTGCATTTCAGGGGGAAACTAGCTCTTCACATTTCCGATAATTGATATTTCCTGAATAATATTACTTCTTAGTACCATGCAAGCTATAACTTCTAAAGACTCTTTCAAATTATATCGATACATCGCTAAGCTCTATTGTTTTTTATTGCCTTCCCAGAAACTGCCAAAGAAAATATCACTGAAGCAGAAACACCTTATCGAATCCTTCCAAACCACACGACCCTCCCTCAGCGCCTCCGATGTGGCTAAATATCACAAAACGTATGTATACTTGTCTTACTTTGTTTCCTTTATTTTACTTATTTTCAATTTCTTGTGGTAGATATGTTCGCTTTACCAACAAGGAGAAGAGCTCCAGGGAGTTTGTAGCAAAGCGCGCGACCTTGGCTTAAAGAAAAAGACTTTATTAGCTTAGAATTATCACTATCATAAACTGTATTTCTTATCTCTTTAAATCGGAAAATGTTTTTTTGAGGCACAGTCCTTGGGTTTTGTATATTTCTTAAATCTTCTTGTTGAAACATTAAAATAGATTTTGTTTAAATATTGTGATATAAAGACAGGTCTGGATTAATTTATTTGCTATTTTTAATTAACCAGAAGCGATCGAGTCATTTATTTAATGTTCACTTAACTTGTGTTCATCTTTTAACCACAATGATTCCCTTCGAACCCGCCCTTTGAGATGACTACTAAAAGGATGACTACTAAAACACGTGATTATTATGAACTATGTTTTAAAAATTTCGATTCCGGAAATCCGAAATCCAGAGCATTCCGACCTCGGGGAACATGGTGGCGGTTAAGGAGGCGCTGTCTGAATTAAGACGTCAGGTGAGTTGGTTATTATATTCACCGGAAATGGTCTTAAGTTATGCCAAGTTCTTGGTAGCCAGGTTGGACAGTTAGACCATCCTCCAGTTCCTCCTACTGTTTTTATTTTGTGTTCCCATCGGCCCAACAAGTGCAACGAAAATGCATGTAACTATTTTTGGGTTGTTTACGTGCCTGGCATCTGGATCAGGATTTGGATCTATGCGGGAGCTAGCTGCTGCCACTTCCAGGCACTGGGATTTTTGGATATCAGTCACGTAACGGATATTTCCTTATTGATATGCGATTATCGCGCATGCGCACGTACTGCTGCACACCACTAAGACAATGGACACATTTTCTTTTGCATAAATTAAGCCGCCAAGCAAACAAATAGGGAGGGAATCCGAAGGCCAGATAATAAAGAATTTCAACGAGTCGAAGCCACCGCAAACATGCTTAGAATAAAACCAACAAGAACCTAGCAGCAGCAATAAAAAGAAAGGAAACCGCTGAGGAAAACTACCAGCCAGCGAAAACAATTGCAACATGCGGGAGGGAGAGGAGACCACCTCGATCAGGTAGCTATGGTCACAGGATCCTAGCAAACACCATTACCGAGAACCGCAGAGACCCGTTCGGTTCGGATCGGTTCGATCGGTTCGGCACGTTCGGATTATACCTCGTAAAAGTTTCTTCCGTTCGATCGTTACTTTCAGTTGTTTGCGCACATTCAAGCCAATCGGTTGTCTTCGCTCGATTCCTCCCACAAACTTGACGGATTACGGTTAGTGCAACGGAAGTGGATCCTCTACCCTCCACCCCCTACCCCTTATCTTTCTCTCTGTTTTTTGCCTGGTAAAGGGAAATAAAAGTTGGCAACGAAGCGGAAATGCAAGGCGCCTTGCCCTCTTCCCGCGATCCAAGACTTAAGATTTTTATCCAAGCCCCATCCGCGATTGACAGGCGAATAAACATGGTGACAATGTTTTTGTGGTCTCGTTTGACTCCCCCGGCTCCTCGCAAATAAAAGACAAAGAACGTGATATTTTGGTCAACGATTTGGGGTTGTGGCATGGCAGAAAAGAATTATATTCCCACTGGGACTGACAAGCAGCAAAAAAATTCTTAAGAGAAATGTTCCAGCAGTAAAATAAATACAAATCATGTCAAGTGTAGCCAAAAGTTCAAAATCAACTTAAAAAGAAGAAACAAACAATGATAACAAAAAAAATTTTAAGAAAGAAATAAGATAAATAGAAAATAATAATTGAGTTATGAAAAAAGATTTGAAAAATGATAAAAATGCAAAGTATAAAGTGATACATTTAAACAGTAAGAAAGTTAAAACAAAGCTACAATAATTTAAGACACAAAAACCCCCTTAGAAGAAATGAAAAACCATAAATTAAAAGTGAATTTAAATTCTATGTCACATAACTTGCAATCTTTTAAGTCAAGCCAAACCCTCGCCAGCTATAAAAGTGTTTGCAAATATTAAATTATTTTAATACAAAAATGCAAAATTCCATTTGACGAATTCGCTCCCAAAATAGCTGAAAGACCAAGTTGAAATGTCAAATCGTGTATGCAAAACATAATAATTCACTAGATAAAAAGGTGTGAGCTAAACGATTTTGGCCATGTGTGCTGGCTTTAAATCAAATAATATTGAATGAGTGATAAAATGAGAAAAAAAATTAAATAAGAGAAGCAGTAATACATACTTCAAATACAGCGATCGACTCGTATTTGGCAACAATTGAGAAAAAAGGAATTGAATAAATTAAAACCTGCGACGCGTGTGCATACATAAATCGGGCCCCAAGTCAAACGGCTAGCGGCAATATCGGCTATAACAAAAACAACAATTACTGGTGGCACTAGCACAATATTAACAACAACAATGACAATCACAACGGTTGTCGCAAGCCTTAAAAACAATAAAATAAATTTCATTAAACGGCACCGTGGTTTTAAATCATTTTGGTTGTAAAGTGATAAAAAATATTTAACGATATATAGAGACCAAACTTGTTTGTCTAAAATTAAATTAAATTGGGTATATTCTTCAATATTGTGTTCTCAAAATTCTGTATATGGCTCGGCTTCTAAATTGTGCTAAAAAATTTGATGTAGCTGTTCCAAACCTGCATTCACAATGTCAATAAATCTGGGGATTCACGCTAGACTTGCATATCATCGTTAATAATTAATCTTGCTTATGTTTATTTGGTAAACATTTGGAAACGTTTAGTAACCAAAATACCTACCGTTTAATACACTTCATTAGTCTTCCACTTTGTTTAATGTTGTAAATAATTTATTAAATGCTAATTATTTATTTAATTGTACATGTTAGTTGGTATGAATTAAATTATTTTTGTAACCAGCAGTTGTAAGTTTGTTTTAAAGCTTTTGAAAACTGTTAAAAAAGAAAATCTTCTATCCCATCTTTCGTAGAGAATTTTCTTTATTGCTATCTTTATTATTTGGGTTTTTCAAGATTTGCGGTTCCAATTCTTAGCACCTTTACTGCTTGCATTCTGAGTGCAACGTAAATAGTTAAATATAACTGAAATGTGTTTAACCACTGTACCGTCTGATTTCGAAAAATTGCTAAGTGTATTTTTAACTGTTAGGCTTTTTGTTGAATGGAAATCGAGAAGCGCATGCCGCACCAACAGCAGCGAATGTCGAATATAGACAAGTTATAATGGAGATCCCCTATGGGATTGGGATTGGGAGTGGGTGGCGACGAGTGTGTCCGGCAATCCAGTGGCTTCGACCACGTCTTCGAGCTCATTTCGGAGGCAAGGCACACAGTCTTCGTTTTTTCTGTCGCTTCTCCTTTGGATTTTTGCATATTGGTGCGGACAGACTTGACTTGGCTGTGTGCCGTGTTGGCAATAAAATATTAAACAATAATAATAAATAAATAAAATGACACAGAGAGGTAATTGAGGGGGTAATCAAAAGAGAAAGAGAAGGGAGAACCGGAGATTTGGCAATATTTATTGATCCAATTACAGCTGCGGTTAAAACAATAGCACAAACTTAACCTTGTGATCAATAAGTGAAATATTTTAAATACAAACGAATTTATTTGTTTTTAATTATCAATGTTGAACCCATTTATCAAAGATTTCCAATCATAAGATAAAAAGATTATTTGATAACAGTTAACTTGATAACTGACCATTATATATATATTCATCAGAAAATAATCAGAATTTTGGTACCCTAGATTTAAACTCAAACTCAACCTTGTAATCAATAGGTGAAATCTTTTAAATACAAACGAATTTAATTTTTCTTAATTATCAATGTTAAACCCATTTATCATACAAAGTTTCAAACAGGAGAAAAAGATTTCAAATCATAAGATAAAAATATTATTGTCTCCAATGGACCAACTTAATAACTGATTCAACTAATTCAACGAAAATAATCACCATTTTGGATACCCTAAATTTACTATCAGTTTTCCAATTGGATTTATAACTGGAAACTTTGACTTAGTTTGACTTAAATCTAATAAATTGATTGTGTACTTATTTTTTCCAATAGCTGGAGGACACTTAAAGTAAAAGATAGGAATTCAAAGGAAACGAAACCCTGGCAGATCTAATATTCTGACCGCAACTGTATATCCATACATGTTTGTGCCCATCTAAATACGATCTCTTGGTGGCTGTTGAACTCAAGAGAATCCACTTGAACCATGGCAAAAGTGCTGATCACGCTGATGATCATTGCGTTCGTCTCGGCGGCTCCGGAACTGGGATGCGATTTTGGCCATCACCGCTGTAAAATTGATGTCACTATGGAGAACAGTGCCCGCGAACGGCACCTCCTCTCCGACATGGATATCACGCTGCAGTGCATCCGACCAATGGCCAAATGGTTCTACCAGGATAAATTCAAACTCAAGAGTTTTTATTTGCGCCTGGAACGAGCTCAGTCTGGGGATTCTGGGAACTATGCCTGCCTGGATAGTCAAAACAGATGGCACAATATCTCTCTGATTGTGGGCTATAAGGAACCAGTCGGCAATGACATAGCCAGCTTTGCCAAGGTGGAAGCTGCACCCGAGTCTGATCTCTTCTTTCAGCCCCTGAATGAAAGCCGGTCCCTGAAGTTGCTACAACCACTGCCCAAGACCGTCCAACGAACGGCGGGTGATTCCTTCCAGCTGAGCTGCAGTCCCACGGATCCGGAGGCGACTGGAGTGAATATATCCTGGCTGCACAATGACACCCAAATCCAGGGTGGTCGTGGTCGGATCAAGCTCAAGCGGTGGTCACTGACAGTGGGCCAACTACAGCCGGACGATGCAGGAAGCTACCATTGTGTACTCTGTTTGGATCAGGACTGCCAGAGGAGTAATCCCACCGCGCTGAAGGTGGTTAGCCAGAGTCACACAGTGCCTATGCTAAAGCCGGGATATCCCCGAAATGCAAGCATTGCCCTAGAGGACAATGTGAGCTTTGAGTGTCTCCTGGAGGACTCTGCCCTGGAGCCGAAGATCACCTGGTTGCACAAGGAAAACGTTGACAACATTGATGACGTTTTGCAGCGGTTAAGAGAGCAATCCCAGCTTCCGGTGGACTTTAGCCGCATGACCACCTGGGTGGACGAGCCGCAGGTGCTTCGTCTGGGAAATGTCCTCAAGGAGGATGGTGGTTGGTACATCTGCATTGCCGAGAACCAGGTCGGACGCACTGTGGCCGCAGCCCATCTGGACCTGTATAGCCCTCCTGACACCACCACGGCCCGAGGAACCACTAGCACCACGCCGGGCACACCAGCACCCACTCCCTCCACCAACGACGATCCCGATGAGGAGGCCGATAATGCGGCAGCGGATGGAACTGTTGGCGAGGGTCCACCCGTGTTTAGAAAAGATTTAAAACGTCTCCAGCACTCATTGTCTGGAAATACAGTGACCCTGGCCTGTCCCGTCTCCGGCAAGGCGAACATCACGTGGACGAAGGACAAGAAACCTCTGAACCGAGAACTCGGCGTCTATATACAGAAGAACTGGACACTGCGCTTCGTAGAAGCCACCAGCGAGGATTCTGGAAAATATACCTGCGAAGTGTGCAATGCCTGGGGCTGCATCCACTTTGACTTCAGTGTTCAGGTCAACGACCGCACACGATCCGCACCCATTATCGTTGTGCCGCAGAACCAGACCGTGAAAGTGAATGGCAGCTTGGACATGAAGTGCACCGTCTATTCCGATCTGCATCCCACTGTCAGCTGGAAAAGGGTTGTGCTCAGGAATGGCTCGCTGGACGGTGTTAAATCTGTGGAGGTCCAAAGTCTCAATTATACGGTGACGAACGACTCCGTGGTTTTGGCTCTACGCAATGTGACCTACGACCAGGAGGGCTGGTACACCTGCTTGGCATCGAATGCCCTGGGCAGAAGCAACTCCAGTGTCTACCTAAGGGTAGTGAGCCCTCTGCCGCCCTTGGAGATCTACGCCCTGCTCCACGCCCATCCACTCGGGTTCACATTGGCTGCCATTACTGTCGTGGCCCTGTTCCTGTTTGGCAGTGCCTTTATAACGTTCATGATGCGCCGATTGCGGCGGGAGAAGCTTCTGAAGCTCCGCATCGAAACGGTACACCAGTGGACCAAGAAGGTCATAATCTACCGGCCTGGTGGAGACGAGGGGAGTGGCTGCAGCTCCGGGGATCTGCAGATGCCGGTAATCAGGATCGAGAAGCAGAGAACAACCGTTTCCACAACGGGAACTGGCGGTGCTGATCCCGCCCAAGGATTCAACGAGTACGAGTTCCCGCTGGACTCCAACTGGGAGATTCCCAGGCAGCATCTCAGCCTAGGCTCCATCCTGGGCGAGGGCGCCTTTGGACGCGTGGTTATGGCGGAGGCGGAAGGTCTGCCCCGGAGTCCACAGCTGGCCGAGACCATTGTGGCCGTTAAGATGGTCAAGGAGGAGCACACGGATACGGACATGGCCAGCTTGGTGCGCGAGATGGAGGTGATGAAGATGATTGGCAAGCATATAAACATCATCAACTTGCTGGGCTGCTGCAGCCAAGGAGGACCACTCTGGGTAATCGTGGAGTTTGCTCCTCACGGCAACCTCAAGGATTTCCTCAAGCAGAACCGACCTGGTGCTCCACAGCGGCGCAGCGATAGCGATGGCTATCTGGACGACAAGCCGCTGATTCCAGCACAGCAACTGGGCGAAAAGGAGCTCACCAAGTTTGCCTTTCAAATCGCTCGCGGAATGGAATACCTCGCCTCACGAAGGGTAAGTCCATGTGCCTTCGAGTATAACTTAGCCCCTTGGAGGGATGACATCAAATATGGAAATAGGTTTTCTTCTGAAATCCTTTTTTTATGTGTTGATGGCTGACTAATTGCTTGTGTTACTTTATTAAAAATAACTTTATAAACTTTGAATTTCCAACGATTATTTGTCAATGCTGGACACTACAATATAATTACAATCTAACTAGGGTTAGAAAATAAAATGATAATTGGTGATAGTAACTTAAAAATGTAGTTTCAACTTCAACGAGCTAATTATTAATTTAACCCGAAATATTTAAATGTAATAAGTTTTATTAATTTCGTATATCTCTTACTTTTAGTGCATCCATCGCGATTTAGCCGCCCGCAATGTCCTCGTTAGCGATGGCTACGTGATGAAAATCGCCGACTTCGGCCTGGCGAGGGATATCCAGGATACGGAGTACTACCGCAAGAACACCAACGGACGGCTGCCCATCAAGTGGATGGCGCCCGAGTCGCTGCAGGAGAAGAAGTACGACTCCCAGAGCGACGTGTGGAGTTACGGAGTACTGCTTTGGGAGATTATGACCTACGGGGATCAGCCATACCCACAAATCCTGTCAGCCGAGGAGCTCTACAGCTATTTGATAACGGGTCAGCGCATGGAGAAACCGGCGAAGTGCTCCCTGAACATCTACGTGGTAATGCGACAGTGCTGGCACTTCGAGTCCTGTGCCAGGCCCACATTCGCGGAGCTCGTGGAGAGCTTCGACGGGATCCTGCAGCAGGCGAGCAGCAACCCGAACGACGCCTACCTGGACCTCTCCATGCCCATGCTGGAGACGCCGCCCTCATCGGGGGATGAGGACGATGGCTCCGAAGCCGAAACATTCCGGGAGACCTCTCCGCTTAGATACCAGTACACCTATAAGTTTAATTAGTCCCTAGTCTTAGGAAATCAAGTAATTCCGACGAGTCAATCAGATCCCATCGATGCATCGCTAACCACAACTTCATTGCCTTTCATCTTAGAAATTGCCAAAGAAAAGTTGAAGCAGGAACTTATAATCGAGTTATTTGAAATCATAAGGATTACCAATGTCCTAAAATGTATGTAATTATATTTTGTTTATATTTTAAAATATTTTAAGTAAACAAGAGTTCATTTCAGTTATGCTTCACCACCAATGGAAAAAGTACCAGGACGTTTTCAGCCAAGGCATTGCGCTATTGGCTTATAAGCAAAGACTTAATTAGTTTAGCATTCCCATTATCTTTAATTGTAATTTGATTCTTTGTATGTCGGCAATGTTTTGTTTGAGGTTTTTGGGTATTGTATATTTCATAATTCTTTTGTTGAGGCAATAAAAACGAACTTGTTTTAATAATATTGTGATGAGTTTTTAAACATCCTTTGTTCCAACTTTTATTTATTACTGCAATCTTATCATAAATTTTAATGCTTTTTGATATGTAAGGAAATTAAGTTCTAGAAAATTCCCAGTTCTATAAGTTATTAACCACATGGATGAATCGAGGAGAGCGACATTTTTCAACGTTTCTTCCCTAATATCTCTAAAAATCTGGGGTTTACTACATATAAATCAATTTAAAATATATTTAATATATGAGCGACTCTTAAAATTTTGCAACCATGCTCACAATCTACCTCAGAGATAACAAGACCAAATTGTCTTATTTGCAAGCAACAAGACAATCTTTTGCTCAGAATAGCATATCAAAACAACGTCTATATATACAGAAGTGGCTCCAAGTCATTGATCAGTCTGCGTAGAAATGTTGAGATCAACGTATGCTTGCCTTTGTTTTCTTGCCCTCGGAGGTGGGATAATAAGTTTCGCCAATCCGTGGAAGCGTTCTCCCCTGACGTGGAGCCTGGGGTCATCCAGTGTGCTAATGGAACTCAATGAGTGGCAAGGTCGTCAACGTTTTCTCTTGGATCTAATGCTCCAAGTCCACAAACCTTTGCTCCATGAGGAACTCATTGGAATGGGAAACCAACTTAACGAAGATCCACAAGCATATAAAAAAGTAAGTTTGGAGAGAAAAAATGTTTTAAGTATGTGATTTTTTATTTTATTGCGTTCTTACTTGCACCAAAAAATGGAAGAATGATAGATGTTTATATATAAAATGTGGCACACGCCTGTTGGGTATTTAAAAATCCTAATTTTGTGAAATTATAGAATCATTTAAATATTGATTTTCTTTTACAGGGCTCTTGGAGATATATAAAAGACTTTCTGGAGCGAGTACATCAGAATCGAGTGCCGCGACCTTTTGTCATCTTAAATCAGCTGGATGAGGAAATGCCTGTGAACATGTTAGGAGTCTACCGTTTTTTAGTCATGGCCAAGGATTGGACTTCCTTCCAGCAAAACGCCTGCTTTGCCAGGATCCACTTTCATCCGATGCTCTTTGTCAATGCCCTGCAGTTAGCAGTGGCCGAGAGGGAGGACACTAGGGATCTGCGGATGCCAGCCATGTATGAGGTGCTGCCACAGCTTTATTTTGAGAAGGAAGTGGTTCTGGCGGCCCAGGAAATCGCCTGGCATCAATTGACTCCCATCAGAATGGTGACACCCAAACGCAGATGGAGGGATATCTTTCTGGGGTACCTTATGCCTAGGCCATTCTGGACGGAAGGGGAACCCATGTCTGCAGATCCTCTCGTTATTGATAATGGAAGGGAGTTGGCTCATCTAAGCCTAGACTTGGAACTTAACTCGCACTGGAACAACCTGATTAATCGTCTGATTATATCCATTGAAGAAGGAAAAGAGCGGATAAATGATCCTATTATTATAGATGGCGATCGCATGGTCGCCTTTAGAGGTCACTTTGATGAAGTCAGCTATACAAATCAGTTGGCGATGGGACCACATGTTCAGAACTCTCAAATATATCTATACAACCTAAAGCAATTTGTGGCTGCATTGACTATGGATGACCTGGCAACGGGAAAAAGATCGATGGATCTGATTGATCCACCCCTGATGACAACTGGTGGAGTTCCTTATAAAGGTACCTCCTTAAATATCGAAGCTGTTAGGCGCATCTTAGAATTGACCATTGAAGACCTAAAAGATCAAATTAACAAGGCGGTGATTGATAATAACAATTCCTTGGATAACTTATCAATAGCTGGACAGATGATAGCAAATAATTATCTTCACATTTGTCGCCAACTAAGTCTGGCTATAAATGGAAATGATATAAGTAGACCACATATGCTTGGCTTGACTACGGCCAATCTTAGAGATCCCATCTATCGACTGCTGCTCTTCCGCTTAAATGAAATGTTAAAAAGTTATGAAAATTGGAATTTATCTAAAAGTGGAGGAGGAATTGTGCCCACAAAAATAATTGATATCAAAGTAAGTCGCCTACAGACTTATGAGGAAACGGTGAATACGGATCTCATCAATCTGATTGACCAGCAGCTGCTTCAATCGCACCGAAATAATTTACAATTCCTGCGTCGACATCTTGTGGCCAGCCAGCATCGTCTCAATCATTATCCTTTTAGTATAGGCCTGGATATAAACGCTACCGCCGACATGATTACTCAGACTAACATGTATATAGCTCCATCAAATCAATTGGGTCTGCGTTTACACCTGGATAGCTTTAAATGCTCTCTAAAAAAGGGCATAAATCATATCGAACGTCTATTCCCAGCAAGCGGCGCTAAACCCACGCTAAGTGAACTATATGAAGCCGATTACCCATCAGCAGAGAGAACCAATTCTAACCGATTCCCCCCACATCTTTTATTGCCAAGGGGGACTAGAGCAGGCCTCAAACTTCAATTACTTGTGGAACTCACTGCCTGGACTGGCTTGGAGCAGGAGTTTTGTGGGGTGTCTGTCCCTGTCCTGACCCAAACTCTGAAGGATGTGATAATCTTTCATCACCAGGCCTGAAACTATTATGCGATTAAATATGCTAAGTGCCTAAACTTCTTAATTGAAACGCATATGTCTGAATAAGAATGAATATGTGGGAGTTGGCTTCATATCAATATTGTTTTCCAAGCACGCACACAATTCAAAATTGAATAGCAGAATAAAACGATGTAAATTAAAAATAAATGTCTCAAAAATTTAAATTTTAATTAATTTGCAGAAAAGTCACCAGTTTTTTACAGGTCAATGTGGCCCAAAATGTAACTTGTAGAGTCCATAACTTTAACAAATGTGATCCAATCGAAATTTGCTTCCTTTCATGTTTTACTGTATGTAAGCTCTAAACTATTAAAACCAAATAACTTGAGATCCTGTCGTAGGAAATAAAGCTCTCCAACAAATATAATTCACAAATAATACATACTTTTAAGATTGAATTAAATTCTGTTGAAATACGCATACCCCATTTAAATGTAACATATCTATTTAACCTTCCTACTTGATCATTTCTAATTTCTTTAGAAAATACAAACACACAAGCTTTCTAGTATCCTTTCTGTGAAAATCAAATAAATGACTGACAAAATGGGACACAAAATAGAATGGGGACTTTGAGGAACCAAAACAGAAACTTGAAAACGAACGAAAGCGGTTTATTATACGAATGCGATGACAACAAAAAGGCATAATAGTAAAATTAAATGTGTCTATTATGCCAGGCCAATACAATGCACACATAAAACCACTCTCAAACCCTGCACAACCATGTTCCATACAATCATAAATACACATGAATAAATATCTATATTAAATTGAATAAAAATTATGTACATTTTGTATGAGTTTTTAAATTCTTTGTTAGAAAATAGCTTAATTAATGACTTGTCATCTTAAATTTAAACTTGAGGCATCACAATTTTATGTATTCAAGAGATATAAAATCTGAAGAAAACTTTCTCTTCGATTACAAATAGATTAAGCTATACCTAATTAAAAAAGTGAATGTATATGTTTAGTACCATAATTTCTCCGGGTGCAGGCGATGGAAACATTTGGCAGGCAAGAAACGTTTAAGGAAGGATGTCTTGCTTAGACTGGTGCGAAGTGTTTGAAGTGGTGGAGGATGTGGATGTGGATGTGGCTGGTTTGTCAGTGGCACATTCGCATAAAAACAAATGCACACAATACGACCACCAACAATCCCATTCAATTCCCCTAACAAAAAGCAGAGAAAAGGGAGACAGAAGTCGTCATCAAGGAGAAGGCCTCATCTGCGGGTCCAGGCCGGGAAATGGAGTCCTGGGCGTGTTTGTTCCTAGATAAGCGCAATAATATGCACGTATTTTACGGCAACTTACACACACCCCCGCCCTCTAAATCACACCACCCAACTCAACCCCATTTTGCAGCGAAATTTTCTAAGAATGCGCAAATTTAAATGCGAATTGTTTTCACTTTGTTGGCGGCGGCGTTTTGCCTAATTGACTTTGTGTGTGAGTTCTAGACTGCGTTTTTATCCATAGCACCAAAAATTTAATAAATGAAAAAAATGAACTGAATAGACGACAATCAGCATTCGCCTTTCTTGGCCTTTCTTTTCATTTTGTTTGCGTCTAATTTGCGTGTGGTTTATCAAAAAAAAGTGGAAGACTCTTACTCCCCCAAAATCCTCACAATTAAAAAAGAAAAACGAAAAGTTGTTTCACACTTTAGGGCTTATTAATTTCGCAATTGTTAGAGCCAGAATTGAGTTTGGGGTTTCGGGATGAGGCTTAGCCGAATACTTTTGGAATTTCGCTGACCCAACAAAGTAAGGCATAAAAAAGGGTATTTAAAGTCATGAAAAAACCCTTTAATTCTTTTAATCATTTTTGTGTGCTTAAAAGTTCTGTAATGTTTAAGCTTCAAGAAATTTTAATTATATTCACTTTTTATTCATTTACTTTTGTTTTATAGCCATTACCATTACAAGTATTAATACTAGAAACGTATTTAAGAATTTCTTAAAATTTAAAAGCTTTTAAAAAGTAATGTTGATTTTTTGAATTTATAAGTCTCCGATTTATCTAGTGATAAATTATGGAAAATAATTTTTAAATATCGTTCCGAGATGTTCTTTTTTTTTTATTTTTCAAAAGTCATCCTGTGTTTTTTTTAAAGGTTTCCATGCCATAAAATCTTGTAGGTTGATAAGTGAAAGTCCTTCCCGTGAAACCATCGTTGGCATCTCCATGTTGACCATTTCTCTCTTGCGGCATTGCTCGGGTATTGTATTTCATTTCCGTTTTCATTATTATTTGTGGCTGTCCGACTTTGACTCCAATTCCGATTCCCAGTGGCTGCTCACGCCCCCATTCTGTTGTTGTCTCCGCTGCCCCTTTTTTTATTATCGCTGTCGTCTTGGCCTTCTTTCCTTGGCTTTTTGTGGAGCGAACGAGAAGGAGCATAAGAACAACGTCAACGGCGATGGCAACTTCCTGCTATCGTGCTAATTTCCGTTTCTTTATCTTGACACAATGGTGCGCATTAAAAGCACGATGGGTCGGGGGTTTTGTCAGGGGCAGGACCAACTTCACAACTAAGGGCGGTTTGTATGGAGAGAAAGAACGGGACATCCCCCAAATCAGCTGCAGCTATGACCGTTGCGCTTTTATTTCCGCCCCATTCAAAGTGGGGATGTAACATTACCGAGAATATGGCGATGAGATGTATTGACTTTGAGAAAACTGTTCATAATACCATTTTTTATTTGAAAGTAATTTAGTAATATGGAAATTGCAATAACATTATGTGCCAACCTTAAATTAACTGTCCGAAATACCATTTTTTTTAATTCAAACTTTTTTAAACTAGAAATTAATTTATTCAATATTTTACTTTCAATAGAAACTGTCATTAAAAACAAGCTGTGGTGTTATAGTAATCTAAAGCAATAAACAATTCCATGTCGCAAACTATCTAAACGTTTATGAGTTTACAAGAAATTTTATGAAAATATTGAAAGATATAACAATAACATCACTGACATTTAATACATATAAGACCAATATTCTTCTAAGAGAATTATTAAAATAAAAAAAGAAGATTTTAAAAAAATTGGCCAAAAATAAAACTCATAACTCTTTAAGTTTGGTTTTTATTTTTAGTGGCGGTAATTATTGTAAAAATATAATTCATATATAGTTTCGGTATTATTTTTAATTTAAAAGAAACGATTTTTAAATGAAATAAAGTATGAAAATATTTATCCAGCAGACTGGTCTACTTAAAGAAAATATTTATATAGAATCAAGATTTCAAGGATCATAAATTCTTATCCATGGAATCCTCAACTTACTCCTCCTTAACCCACTTATATCCACACATATATTTGTAGCAATATTAGCCGCCATTTTTGTTTTGGCTTTGTCGACACAGCCATGAAACCCCAAATGAAGGAGCCATTTGAATTGGAGTGATAGTCCCCATTTTGGGGGTGGCTTTAGGAGGCCTTCAGCTCTCTTCCTTCCCCCGTATTGCCTTTCCATTCATCAGCCCCGCTGGAGGACAAAAATTTGCATTCAGCAACATGAAGAAAATATTGATAAATGCCCGCCATTAAACGCGATTAACAATTTGAATTATGTGGCAAAGCCAAATTTTATTGCCAACACAAACAGCCACAACAAAAATTCTATGGCCAAACAAATGGCATCATTATTAAAATATATATATGAGCGAACACACACCGACCATAATTTCCATAGATTATTTAAGCGCGGAGTAGACGCGTATTTAAAACAACATTTAGGTTGATTTTTTGTATTTCGGTGGCACGTTCAAAATTTGTGAATGCAATTGCGCGAAAGCGAAAATGATTGGCAATTGTTTGGGTAAGCATTCAGTTCCACTTTCCGGCAACAAAAGCCTTTGGAGACTTAATGCAATTTTAGTCTAAACAGTTGCCATCAAAATTTTCAATGAATTGCATCAATTGCCTGTCCATTGTTGGGAATCCCTCAATACGAATATATATTTTTACCCGCCGCCCTTGTTGTTGTTCTGTTTGCAATCGAGTGGGCGTGGCACACTGCACACGACCCAATAGAGTAGGCGGTTGGGTGGCGATGGGGCGGTTTGGGTAATAAAATAATTGCAGCGCACGTGTCAAAAATATTCAAAAAGGCTTAAGAGGGATTGTGCTGGGTTGTGCTATTTTAGTGGATGGGATTTCCTGGTCCTGCATTGCAGCTTGAAACGCTTTTCTTTCCATGGACCCGTCATATTTTTATTATTTCTTTTCCTTTTCTGCGTTGTGTCCAACTGATTTCATAAATTGTTGTGGAATTTCATCAAGTTGATGGACCAAGTCCTTTTTGGAAGGGTGAGTCATTGGACGGGTGAATGCGGTTAGACTATGGGACTTTTGTTGTCATTGGGAACTGGTCTTCATGGTAAAAGTGTATTCTTTTAGTCTTTGATGCCCTTAAAAATTACGGTTTTTTTTGTCGAACAACATTTTTTACGAATAAGAACAACTTGGTATTTTGGGTACAATTATTTAAACAAAAATTAATATTTTAATATTTTCTCTTATTTATTTATGGTGATTTGTTAACTGAATTTTAATTTTAAAAAAGTTTTCGATTCAAAAATAGAATAAACTTAATGTAAAATTTTTTAAACCATTCCATAAAGATAATCACAAAAAATTTTACTCTTTGTTAAAATGTTGTATTTTCCATTAATTTTTTGTATAGGAACACAAATTAAATATATTTCCTTTTTTTATTTTTAGAATTTTTACGTTTCCGGGGGTTCAATAATGTAAGAGTATACACTCTGCGTGGTAAGTTAAACAATAAGATAGTGGCTTTTTTGTGTGCGTGTCGGCTTGGAATTTGTTTTGATTTGCAACAAATTTGCTCCCGCATTGTGAGTATTTCTCTGTCTCTGGGCAGAGCGTTTTATTGCTTTTCACTGTCGCCTGTGGGTTTTAGTCTCAGCATATCGGGGATGGTGGGAAATAGAGGATAAAG